CTGGGAACAGGAAACAGCCCTGCTCCCAAAGCGGCTGTGGCAAGGCTGAACGGGAGCTGCCCTTTCCCACCCCACCCATCTCCCGCCGGAGCCCTGGGCTGCGGAAGGCGTGCTCTTCCGTGACTTAGGAGGTGGTCCCCAGGAACCCCAGCCCTGCCAGCACGCAGCGTGAGCGCGGTTCCCTCTTCCCGGCGTGCTGCCGCTTGGACGAATCGTTAGCACTTTGCGGCTGCCTACCCAGGCTGGGGGTCTGATGCCTCCCAGCAGCCGCGGCGGGCAGGAAGGGGACTCGCAGGAGTGCGGTGAGGGGAGTGCCCCGTCGAGAGGCAGACTAGAAATCCAGTGGGCCTGTCCTCCGCGGACCGCGGTGTGAACCGGCAGGCGCCCGCTGCTGGCGGCCTGTACCTCACGTCACGCGCCGGGGGCGCGCCGGGCTAACGTGCAGGGCATTGCTGCAGGGAGCCGTACCACGACATCCGCTTCAACCTGATGGCGGTGGTGCCCGACCGGAGGATGAAGTACGAAGCGAGGCTGCACGTCCTGAAGATGAACAGGCAGACTGTGCTGGAGGCCCTGCAGCAGGTAGGGGACCTGTGGGCAGCTTGGTCACGTCACGCGCCGGGGGCGCGCCGGGCTAACGTGCAGGGCATTGCTGCAGGGAGCCGTACCACGACATCCGCTTCAACCTGATGGCGGTGGTGCCCGACCGGAGGATGAAGTACGAAGCGAGGCTGCACGTCCTGAAGATGAACAGGCAGACTGTGCTGGAGGCCCTGCAGCAGGTAGGGGACCTGTGGGCAGCTTGGCGCCGCTGTCCCTGTCCCAGGGTGTGCGGGCTGGGACCCCGGCTGGGTCCGTGCGCTCTGCCTCCTTCCCGGAGTTGTCCCACGTGCCTGCTGTCCCTGCCCCACGTCTCCCAGGTGGGTCTCTGACCCAGGGCCATTCAGCCCAGTGGCCGGTCCCTTCTCTCCCGGCAGAAGTGGCCGCTGCTTTTCCTTGGCGCTGGGGGGTTGGGTCCGCCGGATTGG